GAGGAAATTAGCCTAGGGAGAAGAAACGCTTTCCAAATGTCCTGCATCTCTCTGCTCTTGACAGCTTCTGAGAGAGACATTGTGAACCATGATGGTCCACAAGTCCTTTGAGCAAAAGGTGCCATGGACTCTTCGAACTTGTCACTTTTTGAGAAGATCATGATGTATTTAGAAAAATGGACTTTGAAATCATCCTTGTCATCATTTGGAGTAAGCTTTCGAAGCCTTGTGCCTTCGATGATCTTGTCAGCCATTTCTGGATCTTGTTCGATGATAGTATCAGCAGTTGATAAAGAAGATTCGAACATGGCATTAAGCCATAGTTGAAGCAACCAAAAGGGTCCAGCCAGAAGAATGTTCTTTGGAGCATGGGATTTTAAACCAGAAACTGTTGACCTTAAGCTCTCATAAAGATCGACAAGTAGCAGTTCACTCAGGCAGACTTTCCTATTTTCATGGAAATCCCTGGCTAGGGGAATGAACCTACTCGCCACTTTCAAGGATCTGCTGCAGAACACATATCGTGATAGCCACAAGGTAAGGAAAGTGATATGTTCTACGTCTGAGACATCATCCCCTTCAGTATGATAATGGCTGATGAATTTTGAAAAGCTAGCTAGTTTGACATCGAAGTCAATGATGCTAGAATGTTCTTCGTTATCAGGAATATAAGTTTCCCCCACTGGTGAAAGACCAGTGATGGCAGCTATATCAAAGAAGGTGGGTGTTATCATTCCGCCCGGAAGGTGGAAAGTGTTATAAGTGCTGTCCCAGAAGTACAATGAAGCAAATAGCAATGGGTGACTGTAAGTAAAGCCTGGTTTCGACAGTTTGATTAAATTATAAATTCCTAATTCTTCCCATTGCTGGGATTTTTTGGATTCTACTTTAGTGAGCCAGTTTTGATATGCTACATCTGAAGTGGGGTAGGATCGAAATGGTTTGAAGTTGCTTTTGATGTAATCTAAAATAAAAGGATCTTTTGGAGGTGAGACTGGAGTTTCAGTTGTTTTCGAATCAGATGATTCGCTTATGTCTTCAGTTCCTGCCTTAGGGGCATCCATCTTGTTGAATAGGGGTTTGAATTTATAGCAAACGGGAAAAAATTTCCTAGTATCTTTTAGAATTTCAAAAACGGTTAAAGGACCCATTAGGGCAAACCTTTTTCCAGCAACAATGGTAGGGATTAATACCTGAGAAGCATACAACATTTCTTTCTCTTTGGAGATCGCTTGAGGATTGAGCACAGATTGATTCTGATAAGTACCCACCTTGCTCTCCATGACAGTTTCCGTGTTGTTGTTCTTGTTCTTCCTCTTTGATGATTTCTTCAATTGTAATGATGTTGATAAAGACATTGTTAAGATTGGTGGAATTTTTAGGGTTTAGTGAAAAAAAAAGAGGGGGGTTTCAGAATTTTGGAGAAAAAGAAGAAAAGACTAAACTGATGAGTTTTATAGAGAGTGTGGAAGAGTGAGTGTAAACACCCACTAAATAAGACTAGGGGTACGTGGAAGTCGTTGGTTGGATTCAGATAGAGGTGGCGTAAGATCTAGTGTTGGTAATGAGTGTGATTAATAGTAATCATTATTTTTAAAACCGCACCATACTGTGGTAACTGGTCCAAGACGGTTAGGTACTCAAAGAGGCGTCTTGATTGACGTGGGTAAAGTCATGCACAGTAAATGTCATGATTCTTCAAAAGACCTATCAAAATCTTGTGAATCTATTTAAAATAAGTATTTCTCAAAGGGTTCGAAATACATATTTTAAAGGGGCATTTTGTTGGCTGAAGATTTTGATATTGTGATTCGAAATGAAATGATTGGGCTTTGTTTGAATAAAGCAAGTTTTATGGTTTGGAATGGAAGAGACTGTTTTTTCGAATGAAAATATTAAAGTTCAAGGTTTCGAATGATAGTTGTGGAGTGTAAGTCTAAAGAATTTTCGAGATAATGATGAGATTATATTTGTGAAGGTTGTTTTCGGAAATAACCTTTGAAACGAATTCGAAACGAAGGTTCCAAGGCGTTTGAAATTCAAACGTGAGCGGGATATTGGAAATTCAAATACATAAGCGTTGGAGCGTTCGAGGACGCGTGGGGGCTAGAGGGAAGTAATGCTATGCATGCTTCGAACGTGGCAGATTCTGATAGCAAGACCGTTATGGTCGAAATAGTATAAATAGAGGTCTTAGTGTTATGATTTTAGTGTGTCATATCTGTTGTACAAATTCAGTAAACATTCAAAATACCGCATGGATAGGGAAATGAATGCTCGAAAGATGTACGTATAATAACACCAACATTTACAATTCAATGAAAACTCTTTATATTTTCCAGTTTTGTCTTTCATTTCCATTTCATTTGTGCTTCAAACATTTTTACGTTCATGCCTTTACATTAAAGCTTTTACATTCAGAGTCATTTATTTCTTTCTGCATTTAAACGCTTTCCTTATGTTCGAATCCTTTAAACATTCAGCAACTTTTACATTCACTCACTTAATCCTGCCATTTACCCAATCTTAAGTCTTTTTACTTTTCTAATGAACATTCCTTATATCATATAGAAATTATCCTTCGAATCATTTAGTGTAGTAATCAAAGTGGATTGGATGTCTTTGAAACACTTTAATTAGAAGTCCTAAATATGAATACCAGTTTTACAATTAGATTTAGCCAAACAACTATGTCCCATAGGATCAATCTAGTCGATCCTGCAAGTTACCAGAGAAATTGAATAACAGTAATTAAGTTTATTCGATAGTTTGGAAGACTAGTGGTTGTTTACCAGAAATCACTGTGAACACCATGGAAGGTTCAAAGACATCACGTTCATCTTAAGTCTTCAGATCCAACCCAACAGCCTCCCACTGACCATGTCATGCCAACCGAGAGTGGTCTTAACACCAACCATATGCAAATCTGGTTCCACGCCATAACATGTACATTTTAGTTCACTCATAGGTGCACATCTCTGACCTTGTTGACTTGAGTATTGTAGTATTAACCTTGCAGTTACACTCTCGCTCTACTGTATCAGAGATTTACAATTGCCTTATCGAAGAGCTTTAGTACCAATGCATCATCATATTTTGTTTCACAATGTAATACTTATTGTATGTTGAGACATAGATAGGCAAGAAACCTACTATATGTTGCAACTTATCAACAAAGATAAAACGTCAATCGTAGTACTTGGACAATGGATGATCTATTGGAATAAAATTGATTTATACCATAATCCTTAGGTTTTGATGATAACAAAGTATTTAAAGAATAATTGGGTAGATTAATGTGTGTTCAAACGTGCAGGAATAAATATTATTATACTAATTGAAAGTCAATTCGGATACGACACCGAACATTAAAAAAGAAGCTCTAAAAAGAAAGATTCTGAAGATCAGACCCTAAAGAATAAAATTTTGATCAAGTCATCTTCTGATGATCAGAACCTGGAAAATCCAAACTCTGATCAAGTCAACTTCTGAAGATCAATTCAACCTCTAAAGACTCAGATTCTGAAGGATCAAAAGTTAATACTCTAACATTGAAGGACCATAACTGAAGCCAATTAAAGCTCAAGAACCAAGGAATGTCTGACAGGTCACTATCAGACTCTAAGGTCAATTTGTTTTCTACTAGTCATGTGAAGACTTAGCAGAAAGTTGCAGAATCCCGAAGATTTACAAATGATAATTTCTTTTGTAGCAAAAGAGTTTTAAATAGGATTACAACGACATTAACCATATCATAATGTTTTGCAAAAAATTTGTTGATGCTTCTCTCAAAGAATCTTTTGTGCTATAAGTTCTCTTCAACGACTCTTTCATGAATATCTATAAAAGAAGCTGAAGATTTGGAGAAATGTACAACATTGTGCCTTGACAATAAAAGAGAAGTTACTCTATCAAAACAAAGAGTACAAGCTAACTTAGAACTTCTTACCAATTGTACATTCTTAGAATTTCTCAAGTCTTAGGGTTCTCTGTGTTGTATTATGTTTATACCTTTGATTATATATCAAATGTAATTATCACTCTATCATTACCATTTATCTGCTAGATAGATTGTAAGAAATCTCTTGTTTGTGTGCTTGAGCATTTGAAAGTCTCTTGTTTGTGTGCTTGAGCATTTGGAAGTCTTTTGCTTGTGTGCTTGAGCATTGAAGTCTCTTGCATGTGTTCATGAGCAATCAAAAATCTCTTGCTTGTGTGCTTGAGAAGTGAAGTCTCTTACTTGTGTGTTTAGGCATTGGAAGTCTCTTGCTTGTGTGCCTGAGCAATTTGTAATCAAATTTGGTTATAGTGAAAATCTCTTGGAAATACAAGAGGACTGGACTACTCCTGATTTGTAGGAGGAATCAGGATAATTGTTTGTGTGCTTTTTTACTCTCTTCTTTATTTCTGATCAACATTTTTCCGCTGCTACTACTATCTGACTCTGACTCAGATTATGTCCTTGTGACCAGAATCTGATAAGAGATTTAAAGAGAAAAATGAGAAAAAAATTAACACACTTCACCCCCTTCTTATCTTTTTCTCACCTTCTTACTCACGTGACATGACAAAAAAAATCTTATATTTCAAAGTCTGACAATCCCTGACAGATACACGGTTGGTTCAAAAACTTAGAATTTATTGATTCCGATATAAATAATAGTTCTTTCTTTTCTATTAAAAATGCTTACTTGTTCATAGACTACTGCATAATGTAATGAATATAAGTCAAGTAAGTGACTGTAAGTAAGAGACCTTGCTTATAATATATATAGTCTTCAATCTAAAAGACTAAAATATTGTGTTAATGTATTAGTGCATCAAGACCATGTATTAGTGCATCAAGACCAACATTAAGCATTTAAAATTGTGGTGTTATTTCACAAATTTGAAATGCTAAATTAACCCATCCTTACAATTTCAAGAACTACAAAGTTGATTTACTCCCTTGAAAATATATTATACACCAAAATAAATAAATATACCATTACAATATTTATTTATTTAAAGGAAGCAACCAAAAGTGAATTACAATCATTTACCATCTTATTATTTTCTATATGCAAGAATTTTGCAAAAAGACCAACTAAAGGGGCAGTATTATATGTGCATGCCTCAGTCTGCATAAAATTGTTCCTTTTATCTTCAAAATCATCTTTCCAATCTGGCCCTCCAACCAAAGCTCCAACCAAAACATTAGGGTTAGGATCTTCACTACCATACCAATTATCATACCCTTGAGTACACCCAATAAACCCTTTATTCTCCTTGTAAGACGTAATGGAAGCTCCTCTATGATGGACCCTTTTAGGGTAACTAGGCCCAAAGCCCACTAAGTAACTCATGTTCATTGGGTTTGAGCCCAAAATGTAGTCAATTTGTGATTTAGCAAAAGTTAGAATTTCTTCATGATCTATAGTGCCTTCATGACAAGTGAGCTTTTGATTTGTGTTTTTGAGAAAATCAGAGTATGTTGTGAGTAAAAAGGATGCTGTTGAAACATGTTGCATGTTGTTCCATTGTCGGATGTATAGTAATCCAGCTGGAGTTCTTTCCACATTGCTTCCATTCATGTTTTTGTTGAGACATGAACATATGTAGTACTCTGCTTTTGATCTATATTGTTCAAGTATATCACTATGTTTCTTGTGTTTTGCTTGGTTTAAAAACTGCAAAAAAATAACATTGTAGTTAGATCATAAATACTTTGCGGAAGGACATGTTCTAGATATAATGTTCTAAGCGTAAAAGCGTCTCTACTATCACTCAATTCAAGTTATAGATATAGTTTCTGAACATAAAAGTGTCTCTACTATCAAATCATTTAAGTCACACTTTAATTATAATGTTCTGAGCATAAAAGTGTTTCTACTATTTGATCACTCAGGTCAAGTTCTAGATATAATGTTCTGAAAATAAAAGTGTCTATACACTATTATCTTATTACTTAGGTCACGCTCTAGATATAACGTTTCTACCATAAAAGTATCTCGACATTACTATCAAACTACTCAAGTCACGCTCTAGATACAATATTCTGAGCATAAAAGTGTCGTAAGTAAAAGATATATGTTTAGAAATTAATTCGATCTAAATTCTAAATTTTAAGAAACCTTAATGCAACCCAAATTGACTTATTTAATCAAATTTAAATTTTATTGTTGAAATTTAATTTAAAGTTTATTATTGTATTTGTAACTTACGGGCTTCCTTAACATTTGGCTCAACCATAAGCAACAACATCACTTTAATTACACATGATGCAAAGCTAAAGCACCACCAGGCAAAAGCACATGCATGCAATTAAATACACTTTAAACAGTTTTCATTTTATGATAGCTAAAGATTATACACCGATATTCTTTAAGTCATGGATACTCCATCTTAAATATAAAAGGGTAAGCCACATCAAATAAAGCTGTAGATGTTACGATTCTGATTGTGGTAGTCACAATCAAAATAAATATTTTTTTTTTCATTATAAAAACGGTAAATACTGATATAGTGTTGAAACCTTTTAATACTGTTTTGTCACGATTATTTTTTGTATAACGAATTGTTTTTTTAAGAATTTGGCTATAATTATATACCCATTTATTAAAAAACTTTGGATAAAAGGTAAGGAAAGTTAATTTACCTGTGAAGCTAAGAGTTGAAGACCAGCATATTTAACATCCCAGGTGAACTCTGTTATGGACCAACCAGTTCCACCAAAGAGATTACCATTTTTAATTACATACTCTAAATACTCTTCTTTGTCGGTGGCCTTATATAGCCACGTGGCAGCCCATAACAACTCATCCATGTACCCACTCACCGACGCATAGTAACTTTTCACTACTCCAACACTTACATCGTATTTTCCTCTGTACTTGTCCCCAAACTCAAACAGCTACACAAACAAACAAAAAAACTTATCTCATTAATAATTAATCAACTTCATTCAGTACATAATGCAGTACTTAGTCAAATCAAATTAGTACATTAATTAGTTAAAAGTATAAGTGTGTCTAGCCTCTCACATCAATGTAATATCAATGTGTCAGTATCATGTTTGGTGTCTGTACCTGTTGAGCGTGGTGTAAAAGTAAGTGAGAGTAATGTGGATTTGTTTTCTTAAACAGAATGGAAGCAGCTGCCATAGCAGCTGAGGTCTCTCCGGCAAGATCTGAACCAGGATTGTTTTCATCAATCTTGAATGCTCTTCTTGATGTTGTCATGTCCTCAGGTCTTTGCCAACAATAATGATCAGTATCACCATCACCCACCTTACACAAAACATCCTAATTAATTAATTTCATAATTCTCATAATAAGAAGTGGAACTTTTTAACAATATAATATATAATCAAGATTAACGGACGATAGCAGTGAAATTAAATTAATTAATTAATTAATTAATTGGATTGAAAATAGAAAAATGAGTTACCTCGGCCCACAAGACATTTGGACTAGTGTGAGCTTTGATGAAATAATCAGTGCCCCATTTAATTGCTTCCAGTGTATGTTCTAACTCACCAGCATCTTCAATTTCTTGTAAATATTCTATAGCACCCCATGATAGCATTGTCACAGTAAATGCCATTGGTAAACCAAATTTCACATGATCACCTGCATCATAATACCCTCCAACCAAATCCACCTACACATATACATCATAAATAAAAAAAGTTTCAATTTTTAACTTGTTTTTGCAAATTACAATACCAAAAAATGAAATTTTTGTTGTTGAAATTTGAGCTAACCCCTTGTTCTAGGCCATCAATGAGGGCAGAATGGCCACGCCAGGTGACGCGTTGATTATAAGGTAATCTCCCAGAACGCTGTGCTTCAAAATAGAGAAGACTCTTTGAAAGGGCATCACCATAATCAAAAGCTCGGGAGGTGGTAGTAGTAAAAATGGTGAAAATGAAAAGGAAAAGACAACAATGTTGTTGCATGAGTAATGGGATTTTGGTAGTTCTAAAACGGTGTTTTTTTTGTAATTGTTGTTGTGTGTTTTTCTCCATTGTTTTTCCCTCTTCAACTCCTAGAGAAATTTTTTAGGAGTGAATGAAAGGAATTGGGAAAATAAGAGTGAAGGCTTACGTGACACAAGACACTAGACTACAACATATAAGTAAATGATTTGAGTTGTGTTTTAAAAGTTGAGATGTGTCTACAAATAGGCTTGGATTCTTCTCTAAAGAGTCCCACAAAATGAGAATGTGAAACTCTCTTAGTCAATTTTGATCATTTAATATCTCATTTTATAGTAAAGATAGAATATTAATATTGTTTTTCACTATAAATTTTTTATGCAGTTTTTATAATTTATTTTTTGCATCACTAGTAAATGATAATTTTCTAAAATAATTTATAATTTATTTTGAAACAAAATTAACCATATTTTGTAATTGTTGAAATAAAGGATTCAAGAAAGATGATTTTGTGAAAACAAGAATGAAGAAGAAGAAGAAGAGAGAGAGAATGATGAGTTAGTTATGTGTAACTAACTCATATAGGCAAACACAAACACAATGAATTGTATTATTTGCTGCACCTTTTAACTACAAACACAATGACCCTTTATATAGGCAAAAAATGTCCAGACCCAATTACATGCTAAAAACCCAAATAACTACATAACAGGAATTAACCAACTAACACACCCTCTAATCCATGTTAACTCTTCGAACCTTACTTTCTTCAGAGGCTTGGTGAATATGTCAGCTAGTTGCACTTTTGTCTTGCAATATTTTATTTCAAGCTTCCCTTTGTTGACTTGATCCCTTAGAAAATGATATCTTATTTCAATGTGCTTACTTCGACCATGACAAATTGGGTGATTCGCAAGGTTTATAGCTGACTTGTTATCAACAAACAGCTTCATCTTCGACTCCATTATTCTGAGTTCCTCAAGTAGCATTTCGATCCATGCTGCTTGGCATGCAGCATATGATGCAGCCACATATTCTGCTTCACATGATGACAAAGCCACAATGCTTTATTTCCTCGAACTCTAGGAGATTGGAGCTTCTTCGATCATGAAAATGTAGCCTGCAGTACTCTTCTTTTCGTCTTGATCTCCACTGAAGTCTGAGTCAGTGTATCCATGAACTTCGACATCTGTATTGTTCTTCGACTTCTTTGGTAACGGCACACCATGATGAATAATTCCCTTTATGTATCTCGACACCCTCTTCATTGCGATGAGATGACATTCCTGAGGCTTCTCCATAAATCTGCTCAACAATCCTACACTTTGGCAGATATCTGATCTAGTATTGCAAAGATACCTCAAGGATCCAATGATTTGTTTGTAAAGGGCCGAACTTACAAACTCATCATTCAATTCCTTTTTCAGCTTTGCTCCAGTCTCTAATGAAGTAACAAATGCATTACAGTTGCTCATATTGAACCTCTTCAGTATATCTTGAGCATACTTCGTTTGATGCAAGAAAACTCCTTCTTCGATGTCTTTGAATTCCATTCCCAGGAAGTAGGAGAGATTCTCTAAATCAAACATTTCGAATTCTTGCATTAATTTCGACTTTACCTTCATTATCTCAGCTTCGTCTACTCCTGTAATGAGTAAGTCATCAACATAGAGACATAAAATGATTCGATTGACACTTTCGACATCATTTACATATACTCCATGTTCAGAGACACACTTTATGAAACTTGCTTCGATTAGGAAGCTATCTATTCTTTTATTACAAGCTCTAGGAGCTTGCTTCGAGCCATAGAGAGTCTTCCTTAATCTGTAAACTTTCGACTCCTTCCCTTTGACGTCGAAACCTGGTGGTTGAGTAATGTAGACTTCTTCTTCCAATGGACCCTTCAAAAATGCTGACTTCACATCAAGTTGGTGCATTTTCCATCCTCTATATGCAGCTATCGAAACAATAATCCTGATTTTTTCGATTCTTGTAATAGGCGCATATACTTCGTCAAAGTCAATACCAAGTTTTTGTAGAAAACCTCTGGCCACCAGTCTTGCCTTATACTTTGCAATCTCACCATTTGGCCTTCGTTTCACCTTGTAGATCCATTTCACATTGATTGGTTTCTTGTTGGTTCTTTCGACAAGCTCCCAAGTCTTGTTCTTCTGAATGGATCTAAGTTCTTCTTTCATGGCTTCACACCAATCTAATTTCTCAAGGCTTCACCCAAATTAATTGGTTCTGCTTCAGCCACCATCATGGCTTCTTCGATTAAGTCACCATCTGCATCGATTGCTTGATCTGGAAACCTCTCATATCTAATCAGCCTAGTCGACTCAGTTCTTGTTCTTGTGGATCTTCTTTCATTTTGCATAGGCGATTCTTCATTTCGACTTGTCGAAGCTTCGTTATGTTCATCTTCTTCAAACACAGTTGTGACTGTGTATGATTCATGTCGAACTGAACTTCGACTCCAATTCCATCCTTTGCTTTCGTCTACAAGACCATCTCTACTGATCACTAGTTTATCTTTAATTGGTGAATACAACTTGTGTGCACCAGTCGAATGATAACCTATGAGCACCATGACTTCACTTTGATCATCCATCTTCTTTCTCAATTGCTCAGGTACATGCCTGAAACACATTGATCCAAAAATTCTAAGATGACTTACATTTGGCTTCGACCCTGTCCAAGCCTCATGCGGTGTCTTTTTGACCATCTTCTTCTTTGGCTATCTATTTAGAATATATACTGTTGTCGAAGCTGCTTCAGCCCAAAATCTCGTAGGCATATTCTTAGCTTTCAACATACATCTTGTCATGTTCAGTACACCTCTATTCTTTCTATCAACTATGCCATTATATTGAGGCATATAGCGTGCAACAATCTCATGCTCTATATCTTCCTCATTGCAAAATCTAGCAAATTCAACAGAAGTATATTCACCACCACCATCAGTTCTTAACTTCTTCAATTTGCATCCACTTTGTTTCTCAGCATGCAATTTGAACTTCTTGAACTGTGTGAATACCTCACTCTTCCTTTCAATAAGGTAAATCCATATATGTCTGGTGAATTCATCAATGAAAATAAGAAAATACCTGTTACCTCCATTAGACTTTACTTCAAAGGATCCACACACATCTGAATGAATCAGCTCCCATTTTTGCCTTGATCTTATATGCAAATCACGTTTGAATGTCTTCCTTGCCTGTTTAGCTTTGAAGCATTCCTCACATACCTGCTTTGGTTCCTTCACATACGGCAACTCAAGCATCATTCTTTTCTTAATTCAAATGTACTAATTATATATTTTAAATGCATAGATTTTTATAAATAAATTTGTAAAAAAAAAATATAAATAAAAACTCCCATATTTATAAGGAGGGAATTTCGCAACACTTAAATTTTTATGTCTATTTTTTTTTTTTTTAAGTTGTATGTTTTTTTATGGTCGGTTGAAGTTGTATATACAGCAAATTAGGAAAACAACTTGCTTGTTTTGAAAGTTTAATGCAGTTTTCATTGTAGAGCTATTCACTCCATTTATTACAGGGTTCATTTTCAGTTTTGACTTTTGAATTATGTAAAATCCATGCATGATGTAGCTTCCAAGATAGTACTAGTATTTCTTCAGGTTAATGTGTAAGGAATAATGCCTAGAAGCATTATTTCAAAACCCAGTCCAAACCGGATGATCATACTTGTTAGACTGGAAATCGAGAGTGGTCTGGTAAAATTATAGGACCGTAATTGTAATAAATCCAGCAAAAATAGTGTGATCTGACTGTTTCCTGATTATATCAATAAAATTGTGAGTTAACTAGTTGATTTTTATATTTTTTTTCTCGTCAAAACGATGTCTTTTTTTTTTTTAAATGGAAGTAAAAAATATCTTTTATATATATATATATATATATATATATATATATATATATATATATATATATATATATATATATATATATATATATATATATATATATATATATATATATATATATATATATATATATATATATATATATATATATATATATATATATATATATATATATATATATATATTTTTTTTTTTTGAATTTATGTTATTATTGACAAATTTTAGAACGTACTTTATTTTATAATTGTGTTATTTGTTTTTCAAATGTATTTAAAACTTATGTTTATAAGTTGGAACTTTATGGAAGATTGTTATTAATTTATTTGAATAATTAATTTTTTATTTTTTATTTATAGATTTTATAGTTATGAAATTTATGTTAAGAATTTTATTTTATGAATATTTTAAATTTTAATTTATATAAATCTAATCAACAAATATTTAGGTCGACCAATAATTTAATGATCCAATAATTTGAACGGACTGATTATCGATTTGAGTTTTAAAATATTATCCAGATTCTTTTAGGGAAAGAATTGATGTAGGAGGACTTTTTAAGTCTTTAGGCTCAAATACAACATTTTTATATTTTTTACAATTTTCTATTTTATTTCTGTTTTGGATTAAAAATTCATTTAAGGCTTATTTTTTTATTTTATTTATGTTTTGAATTAAAATCTCGTTAGGATTTTTTTGTTTTCTGTATTTAAAGACTTTTGGCGTAGCCATCAGGATTATCTTTCATTATAATAAAATTTAGAGTTTTCTTCTTTATGGTGGATTCCAAGTTTATTTGACAAGTTTGTCGCTTGCAAACTTGTATTTTGTTCTAGGTTTAGCGATTGTTATTCCTTTTGTGTTTCCGACTATGTCAGTTGGCATCAAAGTAAGTTTTCTCCTATTCTTTTTATAGCTTGACAAACATGGCAAATTAACTGGTGATCAGAGTAGATCTTGAGGATATTACCGTAATTTTTACCACAACCCTAACTGCTTTGACTGAACAGATGACGACTTTAACAACTCAGGTGAACAACGCGAACAACAATGTGAATCAGCGAAGAGACGTGAGAAATGAATTGATTATGATTATGTAGGGTGGCAATAATCGTGTTATTATTGCTGAAAATTTGAGTTATGAAGAAAAAGATCCCTATGAAGAAGAGGTAGTTGATCATGAGAATAGACATAACCA